TACCTCCGGGGTTCGAAGCGATCTTATGGTCCCAGTGCCACTGTATCCTGAGAAAGCGTACAAGTCTGTCTAGACGAGCTCGTCACGTTTCAAAATGGCGGATATTTCGAGACTGTACCTGAATACTTCGAATAAGCCTACTTTCTGCATGGTAATCCTATTATAAGAACTTATATTTCAATCTTTCCATGTGTCAACGGCTTGTCAAAATTATTACTTAATACGGGTGTTAAAAACCTTGGTAATTTTAGAACCCTTGAAGTTATGATACTACGTTTGTTGCAAGCATTAGATTACATGACTTTAAATAGATTAGTAGACGCTTAGTAATCCAATTTCGCTAAAGTCACATTTTACTCCTCTCAGTCCAGTTTGTGAGGCGAAAATGCTTTAAAATATTGATCTTTCATTGACCACTCATTGGTTCTAATCGCCTAGCCCATCAGCCCATTTAGGCAGACCATGAATTCAAGGTATTTGAGCACCTGCAGTTCCACATGCAACATCCGTCATTTTGTACGATGAAGCCACCCTTTTATGAGGTAATCGTTCGTAGTGAGCACGAGGCAGCTCTGGCGAATAAATTGATGCGAAGTACATTTTATATTGTAAGTGTTTAAACTCTATGGAGTGCTGGCATAAATACGCCCCCCTCCCCCGGCAAGCAGCTAGCAGCAAGATTACAGTGAAATATACCGTTAAATCTGACCTTGAAGGGGCTATAAGGCATTTGATATACTCCATCATTCAGGCACATTTTCATGTTTATGAAGAGAAAATTACAAAAGGGCTGTTGCAAAGTAACGCTAACGCTTCAGTTAGATCATAACTAACTCTAATGCATAGAATCATTTCTATGCGGATAATCATTGATCATTCCGCCGAACCTGCTACACAGTGACATTTTTTCGTATTACAGTTGGAACAAATGAAACAAGTGATATTAGCAGAATGATGCAATGAACGTGCTAAAACAAGTATCTGTAGGAGCTTAAGGTTTGCTGAGAATATTTGCCCAAATATTAATTTATGAATCTTCAAGAATTTTGTTTCAAAAGGACCCTCAAATGTTCAACATTATACCGAGTAGAAAATAATTAGAACACTAGAGAAGGCATTGCATTCCCAAGTGAACAACGAAAGATTATGTTCAAAATTTCAGCTACTGTTTCGAATGCTAACACTTAATTCGAAACATTTCGAGCTGGGGGGATGGTGTTAGAGTTAGGCAGAAAACCTTTCTATCTGCAGAATCAACTCATAGCTTGCTAGCTGCCATCAGTTATTCAGCAGCATGATGCATTATTTGGAACTCAGAATTATTTAGGAATATTATTATTTGGAACACTTTTTAACCGTACTCGATTGTCGTGATGAGTAACAGCTATGGCGTATAGAATATGACGCATGGACAGATAAAATAGAATAAAATAGAGCCATGCTTTACATACAGCGCGGAATGGTCACATGACGGACCAGGTTTCGATTGGATTTGTCAATCCTCATCGGTTATAGAATGATTTGACTCACGAAGTGTAATAGTGGAGTGCTGCACCGATCGTTTGCTAAATTCTAGCTACTGAAACAATCAGTCTACAATCCTTCAATCTTTCAAAAAGTCTTGGACGTTTCCACTTCACAGTCTTTGTTCATATATTGTCCAGTGTTTGGATCAGTAGAGCAATAGGGGTCATTCTTTTCAGTAACTCAGCAGTTCGCGTCATAACCCTTGATTCGGCGAAATCAGTGAAGCTGCCAGTATTGAACTGATGATGTGCAGATACAGACATTATTTAGAAGATCAACTGCTCAAACTGGAATTTATGATATACTGCCAAATATTGCGACATTTATGAATTAGATTTGCAGAACATGAGCGAGTGATCAAGCTACTAGTGACGGGTCAAAAAGCTCTAAGGAATCTGGAAGTCATATCTGCGTTTACACATCATTACACATCGCAAATGATCACCACTTTGGTTTGATCCATGACTCAGTCAGCTGACTTATTTGAAAGTTTAGTATCAGAGGCTCTACTGATTCAAACAGTGAATGATAAAACAAACGGGACTTTGTCCAGGTCTTCGATTAGCCTAGTCAATCGTTTTGATATGCCAGGGAACGTCGACGAAGTCAGCAGTGGATAAAGACAATCCCGCTGTGCAGCAAAGGAGGGGCACAAAATCCCGCAAGTCAATTTCGGGAGTCAAACCTGGGACTGACGACGGCTGGCAAGTCCAATCGAAACTTGGTCCGTTGTGTGACGCGCATTTGGCTGTGTTTAGAATAAAGCTCTTTCTAACTGCCGATATGATTTCCACAGCGAAAGGCCTTTTCGATAAAATTGACATACAACGTAGTTATCAAGTTTCAATTTGGTCTTCCGCTCGGTCTCGACCTCGAAGCCAAATGTGGTAGTGCTGCCTTTTCCGGACGAGTTTAAACAAGGCATCGTTAAACGAGTCTAAACGGGGCATTCTGGCAATAAATCTGAACGAAGGCCTAAGCCTTCGTTCATACTTCTATGAGGACTACTGCCAGTGAGTTCAACGTGAACCCATTGTCCTCTTTTGCCATGATCAACTTAGCTTGCTTGTATGAAGGAA